AAGAGTTTTTAATGAAATGTTATTACTATTATTATTATTGTGGTGGTGATGTTAGAGATGAATTAACCGCCAATTGATTTAACAATGTGGCTATTGGTTGATTTAAATTCTTCATATTTGGTAAAATGCCTACAGCTTCAATCAGACCTGTTTGTTTATCTTTCAGGTTGAACAGTGTAGTTGTTGTATTTACTGGACTCAAATTAAACGATGTAATACCCGATTGAGGCATAGGTGATGATAGTAATGCTTGTGATATTGTTGGTGTACTGCTTAAAAATGATGTTGGCTGTAATATTCCATTAAACTGGTCATTATGATTACCATTATTATTATTACTATTATTATTGTTATTATTATTACTAGGAATAGTAGAAGTTGTATTCCCATGAAGTGAAAACGGGTTAAACAATGGAAAGCCGATAATAGAGGCTGTATTCAACAATGATTGATTATTGTTTATAACACTGTTCATTAATGAACTATTATTAATAGGATTGGTTATGCCTCCAGATGAAGTAGTACTTATTATTTCTGTTTGTTTTGGCAGTATACTACTTAAATTTGTTGTGAGTAGACTGTTTGTTGATGGATGAATATTTTGTGCAAAATGTGTTGCAGCATTAGATGAATATAATTGATTAAAAAATAAATGATTAGTATTTGTATTTGATGATGTATTTGCTGTCAGATTAAAAGTGATAGGATTTTGTTTTGTTGTAGTCAATGTTGTTGGGGTGGATACAGGAATAGGCGTGGATAGTAAAGAAAGTGAATTTGGATTTAATACACTTTGATAGGTTAAAACATTTGTATTTTGTTGTTGTTGTTGTTGATTTTGTTGTTGCTGGTGTTGTTGCTGGAGTAATGGTAGGAGTGCCAGTAGAGTAGAATCAAGTAGGGGAATCTGACTGACTGGGGTTGATGTCGTTGCTGTTGTTGTTGTTGTTGCTGTTGAACTGGCTGTTGGCATTGCTGATTCTTGCATTCTCGTCGTATTTAAGTTAGCTGATGTAGAACAAATACTCAAGGATGGTTTAATATCATTTAGAATAGCGTCAACATTTGAAGGCATAATCCTCGGTTTCAAGTTGTAATCATGTTCTGCTGATTCTGTAGAAGATTGTTCTCCATGATAATCAACTAATTCTGTAGCTTCTGGATGCAAGGACAAATCTAACGCATCCGGTTCATATGACATACTTCGAGTAGACGAAGATTCGGTGAGTACCTTACTCGATTCATGATACTGATTTTCTTTGGTCAAACTTTCACAGCTTGTATAACTATCATTATTATTATTATTGAGTTGAGAATTTGTTGAATTTCGATTGTTCCCTTCTTCATACTTTACTCCTTTACACAAAGTTTCATCGATTACAACACATTCACTTTCTTGATCATCAATTGTATAATTCATAAGCAGGCGTAAACTTAAACTTTCATCATGTGGTATCATATCCGCGAGTGCAGCTATAAGACGCATTTTCAATTCATTCGTTTCTAAATTCTCTTGATTATTTATAAGTGTATAACCTTTTAAAGGTTCTTTACTAGCTTTGTTTTCAGTTACGTCATTATTATTATTATTATTCTTTGATGAATTATTACACTCACTACTCTTTACTATATGTTGTTGGTTATCATTGATACTACTAGTATTGTTACTACTGATATCTGTATCAGTAGTAGGAGTAGGAGTAGTAATAATAGTAGCATTTTTAATAGGACTAACAACTGATGATAAGATATTCGCATAAGAATTTACAACATCAATTTGCATAGAAGTGTTATCAGTTGATTTGTCTCCTTCGCTGTCTTCTTCTTCTCCTCCACCTGGATAATTTCTTTTATTCAACTCTTTTGTTGGTGTTGATGTTTTTGGTAAAATAGCCTCCATAAAGTTATTAAGATTCATCAGCATTCTATCTTTCTATACGGCTATTTTGTATTATCAGGGGAAAATTTTTAAATCTAAAAAATGTAGAATATAAAAGATTATTTGTTAGTTTACGTGTAAATCAAGTTACTTCTTTGATAAAGGAAGAAAAGAAGCAGAATTAAATATCGCTTTAAACTTTATATTTCCTTCCTTCGCGTTTCGAATGGATTACAGGACTTCAGCCTTCTTTGAAGTTACAGTAACATTGATAGTTTTGTTCGATTTTATGGGGTTGGGTTGCTAACCTCATTTTGAACTTTCCCTCTCTTCCCGGCTTACTACAGGCTCGTAAACCAGGAGAAGTTTCTGAGTGCATCCTCTGGGAATTTATCCCAGACTTCCGGTGTGAATGACTTACTAGTTAGAACTTCAGTGACAATTTTTCTTAAGCACATTTATCTCCTAGTTAACAGTGGGACTCAGATTCATGTACTTATTTATCCTTGTCTAGGTTCCATTGGTTTATTTAATTTAACTATGATCTGGTTAGTTGGAGGATTTCATCATGAGCTGACATCAGTTAGAGAGCCATTAAAAACCTGGGAGTACTGGACATCTGTTTTGTCCTAGGTTGAGGCTCTTCATCAGTAGGCACCCACACTCTGGGGTTCATACCCAGGACCTTCTGGTTACAAGGCGAGCTTGTAGACGTACTGTTTAAGAGTTCCAAACCAGGACGAAACACCTGTCCAGTACTCCCAGGTTTTTAATGGTTCTCTAACTGATGTCAACTCATGATAAAATCCTCCAACCAATCAAACAATTGAGTGGCATTCAAACCTACAAACTCACTCAGAGACAAGCTCTTTAGGCTAAAAGACCCGATGGACACAATCAAACAAAATAATATAATTTACAAAATGACTGTGAGGTCAATTACATAGGTCAAATTAGTAGATCATGCGGGGGTAGTCAGATTGTCGGAACATAAGAATTTTGCTAAGGTAAGAATGGTTGCCTCCATGAAGATAAGTCATTTTAAAAAAGCTCAGCGATTGCAATACATGCATTAACACACAATATGATGGGAGAGGGTTAAGATTCTAATAAATAATATAGGTGGGTGGAGAGAGAGAGAGGTGGATTACTGAATCCTGGTTCATTGAGTCTACACCCAACACATGCAACAGAAATGACTCAATGCAAATACCAGAAATATGGAAGATATTATTACCGCCATCCAAATCAGAAGAGGATAATCAATAATCTTACAATTCTATTTCAATTCAAGCACATCACAACATTCTAACAAGTTACTTATTATGACTATAAAAATACTCGTCTTATTTCCCATCTGATTGTATTTGATTGATAACACTCAATGCCACCCTAATTCCTACTTTATTAGGAATCCTACGTAGGGTCTTAGATGTCCCAATACTTGAAAATCAACTATGATTTGTTAAAAGGGAATACCAATGCGCAGAACATGAGGTCACAGGTTATAACATTGTTCTGCATGGAAAGATCTAAGTAGGCAAATAATTTCATTAATACCATCAAACACACACATACATGCACTCACGCACGCACAGAGTAAATGTAACTCTCGGCATACTGTTATGGTTAAGAAAGCCTGTCTCTATTACATAATTCGTTTGGTGAAACAAAAGCTTTTCCCCTTTGTATTCAATGAAGAGAGATCATGAAGGTGGTTATTAAGAGTTCTACATAACTAAAAAACTATCTCGTACAATAAAATCACTTCATCACTGGTTGGCTGATACAGGATAGCTGATTTTTAGCACTGTGCAGTAGGACATAAGGATGAGTGAATTGAGACAATGAAGACAACGTTCAGAACTAATTTAGTAGACTGATAGTGATAATGTAATTGGTTTAGCAGAGTACTAAAGTGAATTGAGGCGATTTTTAAGTACTTTTCTAAGGCAGTATTATCAAGAATATTTATTTCACTCAATAATTGCCTTGTACGGATTTGATTGATTGGTTACAGGATGTCATTATGAGCTGAAATCGGTTACAGAATCATTGGAAGACCTGTAGAGAGTAATGGATAGCAGTTTTATCCTACTTTAGGATCCCACAGAAGTACGGAACAATGACCCCACCAGTGACTGAATCAGGATTCTCTAGCTGATATTAGCTCTCAATTAGCTTGAAAACAGTCACATCCTCACAAACGAACACTAGAAAACTAATCTGATGCTCACTAGTGATTGACTATACAGTGAAATTGTATGAAGTCCCAGGGAGAAGTTGCAACCAGTGGAGCCCATCATGTTGGGTGTTAGTACGAATACACACTCTTATGATATTGGCTGGTGGTGACACCATTGTCTCTTGAAATGGAAACAGTTAAAATTCATAGGCCATTAGATTCCATAGCGATGGCTGAATGGCTGGTGAACTCATCAGGTAATCTACAGCATATGGGTGGGGAATTGCAAATTAGGACGAGACTACTATCCCAGGTTTTCACCGATTCTTTAACCGAAATCGGTTTCTGCTCTCTGCTCTATATATCTATCTATAATATATATATATATATATATATATATATATATATATATATATATATTCACGTCGATGATATATGTCTGATTTCCCACAAACTGGAAGATATGCAAGTGAAAAGCAACAAGCTGGCAGAAGAAGCATCAAAGATAGGACTACAGGTGAACATAGGAAAAACAGAGGCGGTGAAGATTCCTGGGCAACACCAATAGCAACAACAGACAACAATCAGCATAAATGGGAGGGACCTGAAAGAAACAACCGCCAATACCTACCTTGAAAGCATCGTTTCAACTACAGGCTGAACTGACGAGGATATCAAAGCCAGAATCAAAAATGCAAGACAAGCTTTCATTACTCTCAAGTCTGTGTGAAGGTCAACATCACTCAGCATCAAAAATAAGATCCGGATTTTCAACTCCAATGTGAAGTCAGTGCCACTCACTATACGGTCAGAGACTTGGCGCGTCATAAAGAGCACCTCCAACAAACTACAGACCTTCATCAACAGCTGTCTTCGCTCAATACTCAAGATCAGATGACCAGAAAAGATCAGTAACAGGGATCTCTCGGAGCAAACCAACCAGGAACCGATTGGGAAACAAATAGGCAGGAAGAAATGGAGATGGATTGGCCATTGTCTGAGGAAACCATCAAGTGACATCACTAGACAAGCCATCACTCGAGTGGAAGCGGCGAGTCTGTCATCAGTGCAAGGGGGACTTGGAGGAGGTCATGTGAAGAGGAGATGAAAGCATGTGGGCAGACTTGGAGCCAGGTGAAAACGTTGACAGAGGGCCAAACGCAATAGAGATGCGCGGCTGAAGCCCTATGTTCCTCTAGGAATTAAAGGAAATAATAATATATTCACGTTAGTTATTGTTCTCCTTAAGATTATTCATTTTTTAGTATTATCGATACTATTACTACTTCTAGTAATATAAGCTGCTTTTAATATCTCAGCATAAAAGTCATAAAGGAAGTCAGTCTAGTATGACAGCTTACATCTTTTCGTCTGTCAGGACTATATATAAACTAAAGCGTGTTTTATTTCCAACTATTTATACCTTAAATATTGGACGATCTACCAAAAGATATATATATATATGATTTATTTTCCTTGAGTATTAGGGGAGAGTCGTCTGAAATAAACTAAATCCAGTGTCACGTAATTTTTACATGAAGCGGGTAATGATTTACTTTTATGTAAGCTCCATTATCGTGCATATACTACGCACACGTCAGACGAATGATGAAATCTCCACAACCCAATATACTGTTACTTACTCAAAGGAAAGTAAACACATTTTATAGATTAAGAAGTTTTTATTTTCTCATTCTCTTTCTCTCGCTCTCTCTGTCTGTCTTTTCTGCTTGAAATCTTATTATAATTTTTGTATGTTACAGTTAAGGTTGGTCCCCTTAAAGACCTCACATTAGAATTGGTAATTTATGACTTACTATTGGAAACAGTGTAGGCGTTTGCACAGATGTGCATCAATTTTAAATCGGCAACACTTCTAAAAATAGTCTTCATTCATATTAGAAGAAAAGAGTGAACCGATAATTCAATGCACAAAAATGTGTTTTTAAAGGAGAGAATCACAGCTTCCACATCCACGTGATTGTCAAAATTCTTTTAGCCATGTCACTAGGAATACTGGTTTACTGATGTTTAACATCCTGATGTGCGTCGGTGGCAGAGAGGTTGGGACGCTCGCCAACCGTGCATATGATCCGGGGTTCGATCCCCGGCCGATGTACCCTTTTATCTCTCTAAGTCAGAAGTAATACTGGTGAAGAGGAAAGGTTGGGCAAGAGGCTAGCAACCCCATCCTGTAAAATTAAACACTACTACAGGAACTTCAAGCCACTAGCTTGAAGCCCTATGTTCCACTGGGAACATACAGGAAAAAAAAGAAATATCCTGATATCCGCAACCATACACCTGCATACTTGGTTTAGCTTAACAGCAAGTGTATTCATGTACCGATGTCATATTTAATCTGAGCATACCCAATCATACTTCATTTACTGGTGTTTTAGATGGAAACATTAATGTGACATAAGTGAACACATAAACAATCAAGGCACCTCACTTAATAATACTTCACAATGTTATTGACCAATTTATTGTACTTAGATAAAATTAAGTCCAATCGCTAAATCACTTACAATTGTATTTTTCTCTATCCGACAAGAGAATTATTGATTTCTAATGTTGTTAGTTAATGTTGCTTAACTAAAACAAAATTGACATGTAATATAGGAATGACGTTTGTTTTCTTTGCTTCTTTCTTTCTTTCTTTCCAGAAAGCTTAGAAAAACGTGTCCAGCAATCCAATAGCCCATGAATTCTAACTTCTGTCAATCCACGGTAGAGAGACCACTACCGCCAGCAAATTTCAGCGATAAGCTGAGAATTAGGAAATACTGGACAACTGTTTCGTCTTAGTTGATCACTTTTCACCAGTACTCACTCATAACTCCAACGGGGATCGAAT